TGCTCCCCAGGCTGCTGTGTCTCACCACACACAAAGTTCAGTAAAGGAAAATCCCTTCTTCCGTGGGGCAGGATTAGCCCAATAAAGATTCAATAAACTCCTGCTCCTTGTTCCCCATGTTAGAACACAGACAGAGAATTCCCCTTCGTGGATGGTTTCTGGGATCTCAGCAGAACAGCCGTGAGCTTCAGTTTTGCTTTGTGTAGCTCCTTAAGTTTAACGGTATGAATAATAGAAGGGAGGGAGTTTTTGGATCTTTACCCCTGCTGGGCATACAGCCAAGGCAATGAAAAAAGCTGGTTTGTTCCTAAATATCTTACAGCCACTTAACAGGAGTGAGTTTCAGTTTTGGTTTAGCGTAAAGGAATTTAGTTGGAAGCTCCTCGGCTTTCTTATCATGTGAAAGAATCAAGGAACCCGACACAGACATTAGATTAGTCTGATCTAAAAAAAGACTTTGATATAATCTAAGGACCAGGCTGAAATCACACTTGTTAAAACCAGGTGACATGGAGCTGGGAGTTAATGAGTCAAAGCTGGTGCACTGGACTTTGGACCCAACTTGAGAGCGGCCAGACGAAAGGTCCATCCAGACCACTATCCTCTCTGCTGACAGGGGCAAATGCCAGATGCCACAGAGGGAGGAAACAGAACCAGAAGTCATCCAGATATCTCTCCCCTGTCATCCATCTGCAGCCTCAGATAAACAGAGTCCAGGGACCCCATTCCTTACCCATCCTGGCTAATAGCCATCAATGAACTTAACCTCCATGAATTGATCTAGTTCTCTTTTAAGCCTATATTAGTCATAGCCTTCACACCCTCCTCAGTCACATGCAACTTCCAGAAGGGGGGGTTCCACAGAGGCTGGAGAGAGGCTGTTCTCAGTGGGGGCGGATGGCAGAAGAAAGAGCAATGGGCTCAGGTTATACTGGGAGATCTAGGTTGGATATCAGGAAAAACTATTTCACCAGGCAGATGGGGAAGCGCTGGACTGGGTTCCCTAGGGAAGTGATGAAATCCCTTGAGGTTTTCAAGTCCCAGCTTGACTTTGATGACTCCTGACGTCTCTGCCACCTCTATGATTCTATGTAGGATCAGCCCCGGGGATGGATCTGCAATTGCTCACCATGGCTGTTGTTCAGGTCACTGTCAGATGGCCTGGCTGGCACTGGACACAGGGCTGTGTGGATCGGGTGCTGCCCGCCCCCCTCCAGGAACTAACCTTGAGAACGGCCCAGCGAGCACAGAGCAGGAGGTGGGTTTAAAGTGGCCCAACAGGGCAGGAATGGTGAGGATCTGCCATAAACGTCACTTAGTCGACTGACTTGGGAGACAGCCGCACGCCGCTGGGTCTGATGGGCTCGTGTCCAGTAGCCTCTGGGACATGATCCAGCAGTTTTCCTAGCAATGAGGCAGCCAAAGGATTGGAATTTCCCAACGGAAGCTAGGGTGCAACCCAGCTCCTAACTCCCCTAGGTTCTCTGCCTTGACACTCATGGGTCAGGACAGAGGTGGGCAATCATTTTTGATTGGAAGCCACTTTAGAAATGTTTAGACATTTTTGAAGTTGCCCTGGGCTGCTCTGGAAGAGGTGGGGCCTCAGGGGGAAGGGGCGGAGTCAGGACCTGTCTATAATTCCCTCCTCACAGACGTTGATTGGTCTGGGGATGGGGAGCATCTTTGCCCCCCGCCCTTCCCAGAGAGAACCACCAGATGTTCTGAACAGCTGATGGGTCCCTCTAGGTGCCAGTGCCTCTGGTGATGGGAGGAGACTTTGTGCTCTCCCCACCTGCCTCCCCCAGGTTCCCACAACCCAGCCTGTTATTTCTCCAAATGATCGCAGACAGGAAGCAGTCATGGTATTCCCCATTCCTTGTGATTGAGTGTATTTTAGGGTGGCTTCACTCAGTGCTGAGCAGGGCAAGGCAGACAGAGATCCAGCTGAGGCTCTTGTGATCTTTTGCCAGCCCTGGAGCAGGAGCAAGCTGGGGACATGGGATTTGGCAGGGTGGGAGTAGTGAGGGGGGTTTGGGGTGCAGAGTCTGAACTTGGCTGGCGCTACCTGGCGCTGTAACCTCGTGAATCCCAGTATGGTCTCTTGCTGCTCCCATGGGCTGCATGGCCAGCCAACGGGAGCAGCAGGGGAAGTCCATCATAGCACAGGGGGCAGGGGGATTAGTTCGAGCCGCAGGCCACTGGTAGTCCAGGGACCACCCCATGAGAACCACTCATCTGGAGATGTAGCTCACTGGGCACAGAGTAGATCGACGGGGATAGCGGGAAATAGATGGCTTGATGGGGATGTGAAAAGGCGTCTCCCCCAGCCCGGGGAGCAGCTGGTCTGGATATTGCACATTGGGTAAATCGCTCAGTCCTAGATTGTAACTTCATTTTTATTCAGGCTGCTTACAAAACAGGAAATGAAATGCAGCAGGCTGGGAGCAGGTAGGCAGGAGCGGTTCGGATGCAGGAATTGCTCTAGAAGGCCCAGTGAGCACAGTGGTGGCAGGTTTAATGTGGCCCAGCAGGGCTGGGGATGGCGAGGATCACCCAGAAATCTCATCAACCGGCTGAGATGGGGGAGAGCCCTGATCCGGCGGGTCTACCCCAGGGCCAGGCTGGTGAGCAGTACCCCAGGGGCCATGGACCGGCTGTGTTCCTGTGAAAAGGCAAGCAAAGAATTGGGATTTCCCAACAGGAACTGGGCTCCTAAACCCCCTCAGCTCCTGCCTGGATGCTCATAGGCTGAGGGCTGCCTGAGTGGACCAAGGACGGGGGGAGATCGGTCAGCTTAGGGGAGTGGACTCAGCCCCCTGGAATGCTGCCCCACATCCGGGCACTTCCAAAGCAAACAAGCGGCGCAGCTCCAGCCTAGGCAGGGATTCACAGCCGGGGTCTGTCCCCCAGCCTCTTCATTGTCTTTTTGAGCCAAGGCAAAAAGGCGGAGATTTTCGTGTAGACGCCGGGAGCTTTGCAAGGCCCCCAGGAGACGATGCCCTGGGCTGTGTCATCACACACCAGGGGCCCCCCGGAGTCGCCCTGTGAAACAGAACAAGCCACAGATGGAAAACAGCCCCAGGAGTCAGTCCCCGCTGATACCCGGCCCCGTGACACCCCTGATGTCTTCCCTGGCTCTGCTTACACCTCGAGTCCCAGGCTCAGCAACTCACCCCGTTCCCGGTCAAGCTGGTTCCTGCAGCTCCCCAAAAGAAGAGTAGACGTGTTCCCCTTCACCTCTCCAGCACCGGGCACGGCCTGGTCACCACTCGACCTGCCACCCACCAACACCTCACTCATCACACAGATTCATGAAGACACCCAGAAGCAGGCAGGGGACTTACCTGGGCAGAGTCCCTGCAGTAGGAGGGGTTCCCCACACACATCATGGTCTTGGGGTTGTAGTGACCATATAGCCAAACAGGTTTCCTCGGACATGCGGCATCTGGCATCACCTGCACCTCCACCTCCTGGAGCGTGTCTGGGTATAAGGAACTCTCTGTGCTGGTGAAGCCCCAGCCAGCGATGCTGCAGACGGTGTAAGGTTTCACTTTCTCTTTCACGTTCGGCAGCTTCACTATATCAACCCAGCTGTTCAGCTCCGCATTGGACTTCAGCTGAGAGAGCACAAGGAAGACGGGAATGTCAGAGTCAGACGGGCCACGGGCATGCAATAAGATCAATGTTGCAGCAGTGTGAGGTCACTGGGGGTGGGGGAAGGGAGTGGTACCTGGAGCAACATGATGTCATTGTGTAGGTTAGCCTTGTTGTAATTTTCATGGGGTGTCTGGAGCTGCACAGTGATCTCTTGTCTTGTGTCCTCTGGCTGGCGGACGTTGTGGGCTCCCAGGTACACAGTGACCTCTCTGTAAAAGTTGACGGTAACACGTGGAGTATTTGGGTCAGCGTGTTTTGCCTTCAGGTGGTGCCAGCCCGTAGCCCGTACCCTGCCCAGTGGTGTCAGGTCCTTGAAACTCACCAACGCCCCTTGAGCAGGTCAGACCCCTGGGCTCTGCTCCCACAGCCTGGCCACCGCCGACTCTTCCCTGAGCCCCTCACCGGCACCAGAGCTCCTGGCTTCTCTATAACCACCCACCCGCATGTCCCAGCCCAGAGGCACTTACTCTCCCTGGCAGTGAGCGGCCGTCAGCACAAAGTTCTCTGCCACCAGGAACCCGCCGCAGCCCGAAATCTTGTCTCCACGTCGTATACGCAGATAGGCCATGTAGGGTCTGGAGTGGGGCTGGGCTTCCCATCCCCCGATGATCTCACCTGGGGGAAAGTCAGAGTCATACAATGGCCCCCCTCATCTTCCTGGATAGGGACTGAGCTCCCCATCCGAAAGGGGGGCTCCCACAGCCTCCTTCCACCCCCTTAATGCTCTCCCTGGGGGATCCCGGGACCTGGATCCTGGCCCCCTGCTCTGCTTTGCCCCACAAAGTGGGGCTGGAGGGGAAATATGAAGCTTTCACCTGGCTGGGGGCAGAATCAGTGTCAACCACCCCCAGAGTGGGGCAGTAATTGCCCTGCCTTGTGTTCACAGCTCTGTGGATCAAATCCACCCCAGGCTGCTCCAGCCTGTCCCCAGCAGGGCACGGATGGGGCTTCTGTGACTGCTACTTCTCCACCCACCCACAAGGACCAGGCTGGGCTGCTCCTCGCCCGACTCACCGAAGTATCGGTGACCGAGGAAGTGGCTTCAACTGAATGAATCCTAGCCCAGGGAGCACTTTCTCCCTTCCCAGCTTGGCTGGATTTTTTTTTTTTTTGTGTGCAACCTGTCTTTTTCCTTCCACTGCTGCGACATGTTGAAGGGACAATTTTTCAGGATGAAAAAAATAGTTTGGGGGTTGAAAGTGAAAAGTGAGACTATCCCTCGGGAAAACAACAAATCTTCTGGGATCTGCTCAGGAAAAGGTGCCAGACAGGTGGGCCCGAGTGTTGGAAAATCTCCCCTTTAAAGAACGGCAGAGATTGGCTTTACTGTGGGAGCTAGACCCAGGTCAGGGACCACTTACTGTGCTAGTCACTGCACAGATCTACCCATCCCTTCTGGGTTCAAAAAGACACAGAATCATTTTTGTCCTTTAAGGAGAATTGGATACCCGAGAGCATATTGCTAAGGATTTAGGTGCCTGATTTCCATCCATGACAATAAGAGACCCATAGACAGGTTAATGTTCCCCCCATAGATCGTGGGATGAGCTGGAAAAGGATCCCAAGTTGCTTAGGTCCGAGCCCTTAACCTTGGGCAGCAAGAGCAGGGACCTCTCTCCAGTATCTGCTCCTTGAGTCTCTTCGGCCACCCTGCCGGTGGCTCATAGCAAGTGGGGGACACGACTTAGCAGTGGCATCTCAGAGAAGCCATCTGGAAGCTGATCCACCCACCCCCATAGGCCGAGAGTCCCAGAGCTACTCAGGGGAGGCTGCAGGGGTCCCAATAGGCTGTTGCGCCAGGTAGTTCAGGGGAAAACCCTCAATCACCCCACAGTCCCCTACCCTGCATGGGCCCCTCTCTGCACACCCCCAGCTCCCTTCCCCCACTCACCAGACCAGCCCCCAGGGGGCAGGAGGAAGACCCAGGGGAGAAGTCCCACCACCAAACGCTGCATCGTCAGAGCCATCCCGGGCCAGGCACGGAGCCGCTCCCTCCGGCCTGAGGCTTTTATGGACTAGGTGGAGGCAGGGCCAGCCAATCACAGGGCCACATACACTCCTTCCCGGGAACATCAATTGCAGATGGGGCCACAGTGAAGAGATGCCCATTGGGCAATTCTCAGGTACTAGCCTGGCACCATGGCCAACAGGGCCCCTGCCCGTCCATCTGCCTGAGGATGTGGCTAACACGGCCGGCCACTGCATGGCCCTGGCTGAGGATGTGGTTAACGCTGACCTGCACAACCACTGGTGCTAGAAACGCTCCCGGGCCTTTCTGCAGCGAGATGTCACAGCCCCGAGATTTCAGGGGGGCCAGGAGGGACAATTCCTGCCCCTCTGCTCACTCCAGAGACCGGACCCACTTGCTGGCAGTAGGAGACCCGGGGCCTTTTCCTTCTAGGGCAGAGGGAGCAAAGTTTGGCTCACGTGCCATAACAGTCCCTTCTGTAGCGCCCTGAGCTCCCACCTCGGGGCCTTTTCCCTCTAGGGCAGAGGGACCAAAGTTTGGCTCACGGGCCATATCAGTCCCTTCTGTACTGCCCTGAGCTCCCACCTTAGGATGGTCCCCAGCTCCTCCCCATCTGGACCCTTCACCCCAGCTTCAGCTCCCCCAACACAGGGGCCGTGCGCTTCTCAGGTATGGCGGAGACACAGCCAGCCTAGGGCATCGGGTGGCACTAAGCAGGGAGGGCCGGTAGCACCCCATACAGCTCCCCCGCCACACCCCATGAATCCTCATATCCCCACATAAGTAACCTCCCTCTTAGAGCCCCTCCCCCAACTGCGCCCCATAGACAGCACCTCCCCCAGGGTGGTAACATCCCCATTCGTGCCCCCATCCAGTGTCAGGTCCAGGATGCGACCGTCAGGCCAAAGGACTTGTCCGCACCTGCCCTAGTACATGTCTGTGCAACTATCACAGCTCCTTTTCCCTCTGTCTGCCCTTCCCCATCCCCATGGGCTGTGCACAACACAGATCAGTATCGGCGCGGGGTGAGAAGTCACACCCTGCCCCCTGTGTGAGATAGAGATGGGTGGTTCTGATCTCCCTGATACCCGCCTACCACCTCCGACCTTGTGTACGTGACACCCAAAGCGTCGCTACCCCCACGCCAGGTGTCGGGTGACAGATACTTCTGCCGCATTCAGTGTGTCGGCCCTCAACGGGGCTCAGCCCCATCCCCTGTCGTGCCGCATTCAGTGTGTCGGCCCTCAACAGAGCTCAGCCCCATCCCCTGTCCATTTGGTCCCTGGCCATTGGGGGAGGTGTCATCTCCCGCCAGGGAATGGATCACACAGAACCATGAGCATCCCTGGTCCAGCCATATCTGTGTAGAAGGTCCCAACCAATCCCCGTGGAGGCTCTGGGTCAGGTCAGCGACCCCTACTGGAGCAACCAGCAACATCCAACTGGCAGGTGGGTCCGTAACTGGAAGGGTGGGGAGATGATTCTCCAATAGATGTATGGGCACTAGATGTTCCAGGAGTTGGGGGAAGAAGCGGAATTGAACCAGGCAGGACTACCAGGCCTACAAGGAATATGGGGTATTGAACTGGACCTTGGACACAGATCCGGTTATTTTCTTTGTCTTGTGTTCTGGATCAACTTCTCTGTGGGCCCCTGTACACTGTGGCTACGTCTA